GAGAAGAGAAAGAAAGAAAAGAGAGAAATAAAGAAAAAAAAATAGATATTAATATTGTTTGGATAAATGAAAATAAAAGAGGAGGAGAAAAATGTTTTTATTTAATTAAATAATTTTAAAAAATAAAATATTTAAAATTTATTAATTAAAATAATAGTTAAAATAAAATATTTTTTATATATTTATTTTATAAAAATATTAAATACGTGAACCAACTCCAATCTCTATAATTTGAAAGGAAGAAAAACAGAGGTGTGAAGGATACTTCATCACCCTCTATCTCCATTTTTCTCCATTAATAAGGAAAAACAAACAGAGTGAGGGAGATATCTACCCCTCCTTCTCCCCCTACTCCTCCTCCAAATCCACCGATCCAAACAGGGGATAATTCTTTTTTCTTTCCTTTTTTTAATTGGAGAAGCTGCCTTCTTACTGCCTGAGAAAAAGGCTTCAAATTCCCAGATTCTGAGTCATTTTGTTGGGGTAGGTGAGAGGAAACAAGGGTTCAGGTATTTTGTTATATATAAATTGCGGCGGCTCAATTCAGAGATTTTTGTTGTTGGGTTCTGCTTTGTTTGCTGGGGAAAGGGATTTTTAGAGATGGGTTCTTCCGGAATGCTTGCTAGAAGAGTTGTGGAGACTGAGATGCCAATCATGGTTAAGGTGCTATTTTAATCCACAATTTGGGTTTACTTTCTTTTTGCTAATTAATCTGTTTGGATTGCTTTGTATGTGTGATCTGTTTGGATAGCTTTGTATGGTGTATCGTATAACGTGAACTATTCATGGAAAGATAAAAATATGACATCAAGTGTTTCGAAGAGTGTGCGTTTTGTTGATGAGAGTGTGGGGTGTTGTTGCAGATGCAAGAATTGATCCGAGGAGCCAAAAATGCCATGTCACTGGCTCAGGTTTGTTTTCGGTTTTACCCCATCCAAGGAGTATTGTTTTATAAATCTTGTCTGTTGTTTGAATTGAGAAGTGAGAAATGACTAATGAGTGGTCTATCCAGTTTTCAAGGTACAGATGTCATTTCGTTTTGGTGAAATAACCATGAAGGAGATATTGGAAACCCGCTATACTTTCTTTCATCTGGATTATTACACATTCGGTTCAGTTTTTAATAAAAGTTTTGATTTTGAATTGTCCATTTATTGGAAGTTCTGATTTTGGGAAAAGCTGCAAGTTAAAATGATGAATTTCACAAGTTTATGAGAAATTCTCTTATTCTCATATAGTGAGTTCTTGTGTCCAGCATTTTAGCTTAAAATATTGCCTAGGAAGCATATAGGATAGGAGAGTCAATGCATTTCCAATAATGTCTCAGAAACCAAACAAAAAATGAAAAATCTTAGTCCAAGAATTTCCTTCTTGCTATATTAATTTTTTCTGTGAAGGTAGAAAGGTGGACTTGCATATAGGATTATACAACCCGCACATGTATGGTATTTGAATTTTGTATGTGCATTCGTTAATTGGTCTGAATGTCTTAGTTTTGTTTGACTGCAATTATTTTTGAACAAGCCCATCAATAGTGGTGGCATTTGGCAATTGGCACCTTATCTGCTGATTTCATTGTCTTCTTCATTTTATTGGAATGCACTTTAGGGGGTCGTCTATTGGCAACCACCTAAACAAGCATTGGATAAGGTCAAAGAACTTGTTTGGGAACCTTCAATTAGTCGTTATGGTCTTGATGAAGGCCTGCCTCAACTTAGGGAGGCATTGAAAAAAAAGGTAACTTTCTAAACCATCACTAAAATGTGGTTCTTTCCATGGATGCATTTGATAGTGTTACAATTTTGCCATGGTCAATGCTATGTCACTGTCATTCCCAGTTAATTCCTTGACTGAACATTCTCATCCCAGAGTGTCTGGGGTGGTGGTTTTATTTTGTCACTTGTTTTCTATTAGAAGAATAGTACGTAATTGTATATATGTTTCCTGTGGTAACCAGTATTTGCATTTGTGTAATGTTATAAGTTTATAACATTTCTATCATCATTGGCCCTGTTTCTGTTGGCTATCATGCATCCATGATCCATTTCACTAGCTCTGTTATTTGTCCAGCACGGTGTTGCTCATGCCTCTTAGATATGCTGACTGTTAAATGTTTTAGTCACTGCCATCTTGTAGTCCTGTTTGTTATATTTAAGCCATCTAGGGCAATCTTTATACTTAGAAATAGATGGTACAGAACTCAGTCTAATCTATTCAAAGTCTAATTACTGCACATATGTTGTCATTCATTTTCAGTTATGTCTGGAAAACAAGCTGCACAAGTCTTCAGTGATGGTTACTGCAGGTGCCAATCAGGTACTTAATATTGCCGTGTATAACTTTTGTTCTTTTTTTCTTATTGAAGTTGTATAGGGAATGACAACTAAGTTTTAGGATAGATATTAAACTTAAATCTGTCAGATAATAACTGTTGCGTATACCAGACATCTCTTGGTGTTACTTGGTCAAGATAAGTTAAAGGCAGGCTGCACTGATGCCACTTGGCATCAGTCATGCATACATAAAAGTGATCTAAATTTGCTTTATTCTTTGCAGTGATAATAACTGCTTTCCAACTTCTGTGTGTTTCAGAGCTTTCTCTTCTTCGGCCTTTAGGACTTTCATGTTTTATGTTTATTGTTGACATTGTAATTGAATGGTGAAAGATTGCTTGCTCCTCTTTATCCAGAATGGGATGGCATATTCATGGTTACATTGAACTGGAGGAATAGTTTTTCCTCAAGTTTGAGGAAGTGAACTTAGGCTGTCTGGTTGTGTAGCTGAATTATACTTCCATCATGGATTAAATTTTCTGTTAGTTCAGTTGGTGACCAACATGGGAGAGGCGGATAAATTGGGTGTTTCTAAACGACATTAGTAAAAGAACAAGAGCTAGAACAAATAACTGAAACACTTAAATAAGCCAAACCACTGTAGAAAATTAAAAGAAAAAAAAGGCAATAAGCTAAATAAAAGAGAGATGTCCACTGAAGCAAACACAAATTATACATTATCTTGTTACATTTTGTCCACAGGGGCAAATTTCTGTTCATGCATGGTGTTTCTGCCCAATTATTTGGCTTTTCTAACCTTATAGAGTGAGCCATGGAGGGAAAATTTTCTGTCATTGGTTTAAATATTGGTACTGCAGATTCTGTTTCTTGGCCAACTATTTAGATTCTGTCATTGGTTTATATATATATATTTACCCACGAACAGGTGGATGAGTTGGCAGGGAACTCTTCCAGCTTAACTAGAGGTGTTGGTTTTAAGCCTTGGGAATGTAGCTCCGTTAAAACTCATGAGGGAAAGCTTTGCCACCCGTTAGGTCCTGTCTGGCTTGAATCCGGATTTAGTCAGTGGCCCAGCGGGCTTCTAGATACTGGGTGGTCCAAACCAATAAAAAAAAAAACCTATTTAGATTCATATATACTGATTTACATTTTTACCTATTTCTATGACAGGCATTTGTGAATCTTGTTCTCACATTATGTGATGCTGGGGATTCAGTAGTCATGTTTGCCCCATACTATTTCAATGCCTACATGTCCTTCCAGATGACAGGGGTCACTAACATACTGGTGGGTCCTGGTGACCCCACGACTCTTCATCCTGATGCAGGTGCAGTCCTTCATTAATTTTAGATTTCAAAAGGCTCGCAAGGTTATTATTAATTGGTTCTTTTATAACGATACTGAGACTTATGGAACAAACATCTCCATTTTTTTTAATAAAAAAAAAAAAGAGAGAGAAAAAGGCACTTTGATTCTTATGCTGGCTACCAGAGATTTTGTGTTCATGGTTAATTATCATTTTTGTCAAGTATCTAAATTTTGCTAGTGAGAGTTAAGAAAAGCCAGTGTTCAAGGATCATTTATTGTAAGCCATTTTCGAGAATTGAAGTGCTTTCAAGGACACGTAAATCTGTCAACATTGCATGGTTATATGTGAAATTTGGCTTATAATTTTCTGGATATTTAAGAAGGTAGGCTGATAGCTGGGGAGGAAAAGAATAGAGGAAAATAAGGTGAGTTTAGGATGCTTAGATTCTGTTGAAAGTTAAAAGAAAAAAAGGAATACTAACTCTTACTTTTGTTCTCTCACTGGATTTCACTATAATTTTGGAAATGAAGCCTGAATAAAAATCCTGTTTTCAGTTTGTTTGCAATTTGCTATGATTTTGGTCCAGTTTTCTTTAATAATTGGTGGTCAGGTTGATTTCATTTATGAAACCTTCTTTTTTTTTTTTTTGGCATGCAGAGCTGTTTATATAATTTCTTCTATAAATGGAATATTGTGTTTATATGTTAATGATTTATTATTATGTTTTTATTTTCAGACTGGTTAGAGAAGACACTGTCAGAAACTAAGCCTGTTCCAAAGCTTGTAACTGTTGTTAACCCAGGCAATCCATCTGGTACCTTCATTCCAGATCCTCTACTTAAGGTCTCTCTCTCCACATATTCACATGGATAAACCAATATGCATGTACTTTCTGCTTGTATCATGCCTTTTAGAATCAATCCCTCATTATCTTGTTTCAACTTTTTTCCTGTTCTTTTTAATATTCTAACTGGTTTCTGTTTTGCTTGAATAGAGGATTTCAGATCTCTGCCAAGATGCTGGGTGCTGGCTAGTGATTGACAATACATATGAGTGAGTATTCTGTTTTTATTGTGGATTCAATTTGATATGATTAGTCTTTTTGCTGTTCTCATGCAAAGCAAACCTAATGGATTTAGAGCTATTTACCCCCTTAATATTTATGTCAGCCTATGTTTTTGGGAAAAAAATACAGACATTATCATATTTCTCCGTTCTCATATACACTGGATCATGTCCCATAAGAAAAATATCTAGATAGGTTGCTATCAATCAATTTGGCTGATCACTAAATCATGAACAATGAAAAAATCAATTTAGTGATTAGCAATGTTGACAATTTGCTTAATTGATGACAAAAACATCAAGGTGACCTTACCTTGCTAAATCTAAAAGATACTGTTCATGGGGTGAAGTATTCCTCTTTACTTACAATTTTCCCATGATTCTTTCAACTTTTTTATTGGCCTCATTTTAGGGTGAAGATACTTATGGTCCTATGTTGCCAGGTATTTTATGTATGATGGTCGGAAGCACACTTGTGTTGAAGGCAACCATATTGTGAACATCTTTTCATTTTCTAAAGCATATGGAATGATGGGATGGAGGGTGGGATATGTAAGTAACTACATTACAAGTCAGACTGTTTTTCTGAGAATTTGAATTCTTAAAGCTTTGTTGGCCCAAAAAAAAAAAAAAAAGAATTCTCAAAGTTTTGGTTCTTAAGATGAACCAATAAGTTGCTAGAAAGCTAATGCCTTATTGTTTGTGTATTTTCAACATTTTACAAACTATTTGCCAATTTCTTTTCTATTATCAGCCAACAATATTCATGTTTTTGTCTTTAAACCAATGTCTTTTGTTAAAATACAGAACAGTCAGTAGGCTTGAAATGCATTTTTAGCTACTGCATTGAGTGGATTTGATTATTGAACAGAAATTTTCTAATTCGCTTTCTATATGATGGATATATTGTAACGTCCCATCCTTGGTTGATTATATTTTAAATAACAGTCCTTAAACTAAGGACTGTTATTTAAAATATAATCAACCAAGGATGGGATGTTACATATATCTTGTTTTCCCAAGTCAGATATATGTTTTTCCAGCTGCAGTTCTCCTTATTGTCTGTAGATTTAATATGTTTGTGCTTTCATATGCAAAATGAAGTATACTTGTCTGAACCATAGGTATGGATGTGTGCAGATAGCATACCCATCAGAAGTAGAGGGCCTTGGAGCTCAACTGCTGAAAGTTCAAGACAACATTCCAATCTGTGCCTCAATAATTTCGCAGCACCTTGCCCTATATTCTTTAGAAGTGGGACCTGAGTGGGTCACTGAGCGAGTGAGGGATCTTGTCAAGAACCGGGAAATTGTTATAGAAGCGCTGTCACCCTTGGGAGAAGGTGCTGTGCAAGGAGGGGAGGGTGCAATCTACTTATGGGCTAAGCTTCCAGACCAGTATGTTGATGATTTTAAGGTGGTTAGCTGGCTTGCTCACAAGCATGGGGTGGCTGTGATCCCAGGAGGTGCATGTGGGTGTCCAGGACATCTGAGAATTGCCTTTGGAGGGTTGACAGAGGATGACACCAAGGCAGCTGCAGAGAGGCTTAACAGAGGATTAGAAGAATTGGTGAAAGATGGAATGTTGGAGTAACAACTTTTCACATTTAATTGAGATGCAAAAACAGAGTGTGGAAATCTATTCCCCAATTTAAATTGTGAACGGGTTTTATTTGAATAATTGGAGGCAGCGCATGCAGAATGTTGCCTGAAATTAGAAAGCAACAGTTTCCGTGATGTATATTGCTAGAGGAACTTCTCACAGGTGTTTGTGTGAGTCACAGATGTTGATTTAAATACACATGCAAATGTTTTTACAATCAATAATTCAAACATTTCAAGTAGGGTTTGATGGAAAGAACCACGTCTTGCATGAAAATTTAAATCAAAATCCAAAACTCTGCTTTTCTGTTGCAAATGTGGTTCTTGTTTTTGGGAAACTTCTTTTATGTAAACCATCACTAGGAGCCAGAGGCAGTTACCTCCATTTGTGGATAGGTAGGCCAATGGTTCCATGTTCAGTCATAATAACACATCAAGTGTTGGCGTATAAAGTGAGAAAAGGAGAGATTATCTCTTTGTTCTGTAATCCATCATTAAAGAAAAGAAAGAAAGACTTGTCCAGTGTTTGGTTCCAAAATAGAAAAGCTTAGAAGAGCTCAAGAATGTTGAATTCTTTAATCATTACATATCAAAAATAAATCCATCATTAACGTTATAATGTCAACTTAAAATCTCTACTTGAATCTCTGTTCCCTCCTAATCCTAAAAAAGAAGAGAAATGATAAATATCATGGTTTTTTCCCAAAAAAAATTATTATACAACTTTAACTGTAAAATTTAAATTGTTTGATTGGGGTAGGCCCTTAATACTAAGGGTTGTTTCTTCATCCAACAATTCTTGTTTTGCTGTTAAGATTTTTTTTTTTTTCTTTTCAGAGAAGTTTAACAGTTGGAAAGGATGGGGACAAATGAAAGAAAAAGCAATTGGAGAAGGCAAAAGTGCCAAGTAGCTTTGAGTTTCATGGGCCCTACCATACTAACGGCCTGTAATCCCCCGCAAACCCAATTAAATGTTGAAAATTGAAACTCCAAACTAAAGGCCCAAAATGAAGGGTCAATCCAGTAATTTCGCTATCTCCTTCTTCCTTGCCTCTCCGATCTCATGGTTTAAACGTCGCGCTCACGGGAGGGCACCAATCTAAACT